GTAAACAATTTACTACAAAGTCTACACTTTTGTCCACCAAAAGAACTCCAAATTTCAACATGTCCCAAGTAATAGACGGAAAAATAGATATTCTTTGTTTAATCCAATTACATACTTCAATCCAAAATGAATTAACCAGATAACAATGGAAAAATAACATTATTACAAAATTGACAAATATTACAATCCACATTAAATCTTAATCTCAGAAATTCCTTAGCAGGATAAATAGTTCTCATCTACAAAATTAATTTAGCCTAATTTAAGATCCAAAAGCTTGGGAATGATAGTGGAGTATGTTAAAATCCCCTTTAACATATTAAGGAATGGTAAAGGAATACTTTTAGTAACTTTCAAATAAACTTTTCCCTCACACTTCAAAATAAATTTAGTGCAGAAATCATTATAACTAAAAAAAGCAGCCATTCTTATCCATAATGTGCAGCACTGACCAAATACCTCTTTGCCACCAGTCCTCCAAAAATAAAGATTTTCTTTGAAATAAACTACAACGATTATTCCATAAGGAAACATTATGAGGCCTGAAGTTATGTTTAAACAGCATTAGGTTCTTCTTCTTTGTTGTGCTTAACTGGGATTCGCAAAATGAAAAGTGCACTACTGCCTCCTACTGTTATTGTAGCACGCGCTTGTCTTTCCGTAAACATAATTCTGGAATATTTTTTACACCATCAGAATACTCTTAAAATATGTGAGAAATGATAATCACACACACACACACAAAAAAGCTAAATGAAAATATAAGATCAAATTTGGTCATTTTTAAATGATTTTTAACACAATTTTTCTGTGGACCACCTTGTGTACTCTTAAAAACCCATGACACAGGCCATGTAAAGTAAACTCTCCAAAACCTTAGGAGTGATTTGTGCTATAACAGCCAATACGTTTTAGTAAACTGTGCACTGTGGCACTGTTTCTGAAAGCATCTCCCTGTTTTTATTCAGCTACAGGAGGTTGAACTGAGATGGGCAGTGCTAACAAACAGGACTGCCACAATCTGGCAAGCCAGACTGTGAGTTTATTGTCACGTTTACTTAGTGTCTTAACAGTAGTACATCTTCTTTCCTTACTCTTTTGCTTTTACAAATGTTGAGAAATTGCTTAATTTCCCCGATTATTCCATAAGGAAACATTATGAGGCCTGAAGTTATGTTTAAACCGCATTAGGTTCTTCTTCTTTATTGTGCTTAACTGGGATTCGCAAAATGAAAAGTGCACTACTGCCTCCTACTGTTATTGTAGCTCGCGCTTGTCTTTCCGTAAACATAATTCTGGAATATTTTTTACACCATCAGAATACTCTTAAAATATGTGAGAAATGATAACGTCTCAGGTTACTTATGTAACCATGGTTCCCTGAGTAGGGAACGAGACACTGCGTCCTCTAGGGGTCGCTATGGGGAACGCCTCGTCGTGACCCGTGTCTGAAGCATACATTGAAAAAACACCAACTCGTTGGCCGGCGACAGCCGTACTCTTAAAAACCCATGACACAGGCCATGTAAAGCAAACTCTCCAAAACCTTAGGAGTGATTTGTGCTATAACAGCCAATACGTTTTAGTAAACTGTGCACTGTGGCACTGTTTCTGAAAGCATCTCCCTGTTTTTATTCAGCTACAGGAGGTTGAACTGAGATGGGCAGTGCTAACAAACAGGACTGCCACAATCTGGCAAGCCAGACTGTGAGTTTATTGTCACGTTTACTTAGTGTCTTAACAGTAGTACATCTTCTTTCCTTACTCTTTTGCTTTTACAAATGTTGAGAAATTGCTTAATTTCCCCTCTTTGTCGTGCAGTGAGCGTTATCTTCAAGCCACATGTGCCACCCAAGGAACGGATCTCAATGAGGGACTGCTTATCTAAAGAATATGAAAACTATCAAGCTATTAAGAACGAAGAATTGCTAAAAGTGCTGGACCACTAATCAGATGCAAATAAATAATATATGATACGTTGCAGTACAGGACATGTCGAAATGTTCTGTTTGTTTCAGCTTCACATTCAGGACTTTGTAATCAGTTCCTGTTCTAACGCACGTTTCTGTATTTTCCTTCCCAATTTCCCCTTTCTTTGTCACCCTTTCCATATATTACTTTTTTTAAAAGCCTCATCATCTTATTAGTCATTTGACTTTGTATAGTATAAGTACGTATTGCTATTAAACAAAGATGAAAGATTAAGGTAAGTATATTGTACCATTTTAGGGGAAGACGGGGATAAAAGCATAAAGGACTACATAATAGGAAAACCAGTTTCCTTCTAGTTTATGAAGGACTATTACATTTTAATAGCACTTATTATGCAGTAACGGTCATTCAGACAAGATTATGTCAGACAAAAGCACTTTTGTCAATTCAGTAGAATTAGTAAAAGAAAAACTATTCTTGTTCTACATTACGTTCATGAGTGGAATAATTGAAATGTATTTATTTATATTTCACTTTAAGTATTCAGTATAAGCTTTATGCCTGGTAAAACCATGACAGACATTTTAAGCTCTAAAATAAAGGTTATAGTATAATATTTTATTATTCAGCATTTATTGTTTTAACCACAAATAATTCAATGCTTTACTTTCTACAAACCAAAAAATAAAAAAGAAGTAAAATATGCATAGTACTTTATTTAATATATTATTGTTAATGCAATTATTCAAAGATGTGATTTCAAGCATGTTAACTGAGCACATTTGAAAATAGACTGTAAAAATGGTTCAGTGCACTTACATTTCAGCTTTCACAGATCCAAGGGAAAATAAATTCATATAACTCCTCACTACAAGGTCTCACACTGAAATATGAAACTTCTAAAGAAATTATAACCCCCAGTGTAACATTGTCAAAGAATGCATGTTTGTATACATGATTCCAGTCTATTATGATTCCTGCATAAAAATATGATGTGGTAAGCAGGTCCTTAAGGTCCTGTATTTGTATGAGGAAACCATAGGTTAATGGATTGTATGGGTTAAATGTAAATACACATAAATTATAAGTCCAGTAATACCATAAATGTGACCACCCAAGCACAAATGGGGGCTAAAATATTGACAGCATTTACTCCTGCATTAAAAGACATCAGATGAATCCCTTAACCAGACTGTAACATTGTAATTGTACAAGAGAAACACATGAACTTACTCTGGCTCTGGTCAAATACACCTGACACCACCCCCAAATTGGTGTAATTAAATCTTTTACAAAAGAAACTGAGTGTGATTGTGCTAAACATCAGATGGTTGTAATGGCTGGGTCATTTCAATGTGAGGGCACCATTTTGAGCTTGTAATAACGGGTAAGATCAGTCCATATTGTCCTCTTTACTACACAATAACAGGTTCCCGCTGGTTGTTCTGCCGTTTGACTACAAAAACTTTCTGTCCGGAGATGGTCACAGCATAAACGTAGTCTTCAAACATCACTGTGAAAAAACAAAACACAATATAACATCAGGATATTTACACCATTGTTTTAAGCATAATTTTGTTAATATAAAAAGTTTATATATATATATATATATATATATATATATATATATATACACACTACAGTAATGACAGCTAAGGGGAAATTGTATTATGAACAAAAATGCAAAATGAAAAATTATAGACAAACACATTTCTTGTGTTGTGGGATGTGGGATATAGAGGTCCACGTGAAAATATGTATGTTTCTTACCTGACATGCGTTTGAAAGGGGGCTCGGCTGTCCCATGCAATTTGAAACGACAAGCTGTTCTGACCATCTGCATGATCACTCCTGCCGTGTGCTCGTCATTCTCCAGCTCCCCTGCGGACTGTAACAGGACAAAATTTATCTATCTATCTATATACACACACACACACACACACACACACACGCAGGTTTGTTTTTATGGTTTATGGGGACTCTCCATAGGCATAATGGTTTTTATACTGTACAAATCGTATTTTCTATTGCCCTACACCAACCCTACTCCTTACAGGAAACTTTGTGCATTTTTAGATTTTCAAAAAAACTCATTCTGAATTATTTATAAGCCTTTTGAATCACGGGGACACTGAAAATGTCCTCATAAATCACCTTCTCGTTGTAATACCTGTCATACCCATGTTATTATACAAATTTGTGTCCTCATAAACCACATAAACATGCACACATATATTTATTTTTTATTTATGTAATATAAATAATATATTACACTAATATGTCCTATTTGCTTGGACAATTCTATTGGAATTTGCTCTTTAGAACTCAAGATTATGTTTCAACACATTTAATCTCATTATGTCATGTGGTTGCAACATGTAAGGTGATGAACTTTACTGCACATTAAGTGTTTAATGACTTACCGCAAGTACACCCTCCTCACTAATAACCAAATACCCAATCTGATCGGGTATTCTCTCTAAACCTTGGGTCAGAGCGGTGGTCTGCAATTCAACACAAAATAATGCAGGAAATAAACATTAGCAGAGCTCATCTGGCTAATGGTTTCTCAGAGCTTACTGCTTATTTGCTCACATTATTTACAATCTCTATCTCGTTTCTGTTTTCCGTACGCATGCGCACACCACATCAAAACCTTTTCATCAAAAGAAACATTGAGATGAACAAATGCCCCCAAAGTAAACTTTATATTTACCATTTTTAGGCAGTGCAGATGAATTTACACCGTCTTCCTTCACACCCCGCCTCACGTGACGGACAAGCAGCGCGTCGCGTGTTTATAACGTCGTTTCAGAAGGTAGATGGCTTTTTCTGTAAATTTGACATGCCCGGAAATCTACAACAAATGATATATCCGCGAAATGATTAGAATATTTGTATGATTACGGAATTCTGACAGTGTTTAGGCTGTTAGCGCACATAATCTGACTCAGGATCAGATTTGCTGTCATAATCAGCACATTAATTAACACGAGCAGCACCGATCCCAGATCAGCGGCGTTTACGGATTAGTCGAAGCGGAAGTGCCGCTCTCCAGTAGTCAGCTGATTAGAGCATATGATCCTGCAGGACGGAAAGAGAAACATTTCATCCATTCCGTCTGTTATTTGAGCAAATATAAGAAAAAAGACAAAATGCCTGGACGGGGGAAATTAATCGCCGTTATAGGGGATGAAGACACGTGTACCGGATTCCTCCTCGGAGGGATCGGAGAGCTGAACAAAAACCGAAAACCCAATTTCTTGGTGGTGGAAAAGGACACTAGCATCACAGAGATAGAGGAGACCTTCAAGTAAGACAGGATTTGATGTCTGAATGATTTAAGATCATACCTATTACAATCCAAATAACAGCCATAAAAATGTGCAATCATATATGTATGAGATCTTGCCTATGATCTATCTATCTATCTATCTATCTATCTATCTATCTATCTATCTATCTGTCTATCTATCTATCTGTCTTTCTGTCTGTCTATCTGTCTATCTGTCTGTCTGTCTGTCTGTCTGTCTATCTATCTATCAATCTATCTATCTGTCTGTCTGTCTGTCTGTCTATCTATCTATCAATCTATCTATCTGTCTGTCTGTCTGTCTGTCTATCTATCTATCAATCTATCTATCTGTCTGTCTGTCTGTCTGTCTATCTATCTATCAATCTATCTATCTGTCTGTCTGTCTGTCTGTCTATCTATCTATCAATCTATCTATCTGTCTGTCTGTCTGTCTGTCTATCTATCTATCAATCTATCTATCTGTCTGTCTGTCTGTCTGTCTATCTATCTATCAATCTATCTATCTGTCTGTCTGTCTGTCTGTCTATCTATCTATCAATCTATCTATCTGTCTGTCTGTCTGTCTGTCTATCTATCTATCAATCTATCTATCTGTCTGTCTGTCTGTCTGTCTATCTATCTATCAATCTATCTATCTGTCTGTCTGTCTGTCTGTCTATCTATCTATCAATCTATCTATCTGTCTGTCTGTCTGTCTGTCTATCTATCTATCAATCTATCTATCTGTCTGTCTGTCTGTCTGTCTATCTATCTTATCTGTCTATCTGTCTGTCTGTCTGTCTATCTATCTGTTATGTCTGTTATTAGACATCATAGCTCTATATATGTCCTTATTACTTTAGCATTTTATAGTTTTCAAATAATCAAATTTTGACTTAGAATAGTAGTTTGCATAATTTATAGTACACAGGTCATTTTTTGACTTGAAATTATATCTGTTCTTCATTTCCAGGAGTTTGCTGGCTCGCAGTGACATTGGCATCATCCTCATCAACCAGTTCATCGCAGAGATGATTCGTCACGCTATAGATGCCCACATGGAGTCAATCCCGGCCGTTCTGGAGATTCCTTCAAAAGAGCATCCGTATGACGCCTCCAAAGATTCCATCCTGCGACGGGCCAAGGGCATGTTTTCAGCAGAGGACTTCCGATAAGCCGAGCATTCATGACAGCTTTCATTAATCGTTTTCACACGGAAATCAAATCTTAAATGACTAGTGAAATGTCCCCATAAAGTAGAACAAATAACTTCCTGTCTCGTTATTCCTGTGTCATTCTTTTTGACACACAACAGATTCACTGTTCGTATTGCAGCAAATGGCCTTTAAATAATTTCCTTACTGACAAAAGGACAGAATATTGCATAATCCTCAATCAGTATTTCTTGGTGCCTGAAATACTCTTTCATTTCAGCCGAAGGTTTTGTCTTCTGTCCACTTGCTCCTTGTGGAACCTGGGGTCATTGCTACAGACGGGAAATGAGATTGCTGGGGACATGACCAGTGGTCCAATGGGAATTGGCAAGAAATGAAGGATGATCCTGAATGATCAACGAGCCAGTAGTGTTTTGACCGATTATAAGAGGAAGTTGCACTAATGCATTACAGTGAAGTGATGTGCTTTGGTATCTTAGGGTTGCTTTAATATTCTGTGAAAACAGGATTTATTTAGGCATGTTGTGTTTGTGTTTAAGCAAGATACACTCAAAATCTTATTCTCTTATACACAGTGGTGTTGTGATGTTTCTGTTTTTTTATTTTGATGAGAATAATTATAGTGAAATCCTGCAATTTCTAGCAAGTCTCTAGCAGACATTTGTTTTCAGTGAATTTTAGTGAAACCTTGACAATTTTATGGAAAATGGAACCGCATGTTATATTGCAATTCGTATTTATGACTGATTTTATAAGCAGGGTAAAGCGTACACTCAGTCTTACTGCAGATGTTGTAGCACCTTATGGCGAGGCACTACAAGTGAATATGGTAAAAAGAAAATAGCCATATTCCTATGAAATATGAGATATTTCTGTGAAACTGTGCCAAGTCATTTTTCTGTAATAAAAATATTTTTATATTATAAGTTGGCTCAAAAACATACATTACAACACGGAAATGCATCAATGGAATGGAATACCCATTGTTGTCTATGTTGTAAAATAAATTATGAAATATGTAGGCCTACTATAAATTCTGTAATAAAATTCATAACTGTCAGTGTCACATTTAATTTAATTGAGTTATTGTTCTTGTTTTCTTCAGTTTAGTTCCTGTCTCCTTAGTTAATAATTCCTCTGTTTGTTAACCAGATTACTGATTACCCTCACCTGTATGTAGTTTAATTATATGTGTAAAAGTAGTCCTGTTTTGTTCAGTTTGCAGATGTTATTGTGTGGTTTGAGTGTATGTTTGCCTGTATATTCCTGTTTGTGGCTATTTAGATTAAATTTCTTTGTCTTTTGTGTTGGATTGCAAAACCATATGTGACAAATCCATACGTGAGAATATATGTGCTAAGTTTGATTAATGTATGTATAGAGGATGCTGATTAATTTGTTGATTTTTTAAACCTATATCTTTCCTTTATTTTCTTAAGGAACATGTATTTTCTTGACTTTTTGCTCATAAATATTTATTATTAATAATGAATTTACACAATATACTCACCTCAAAAAAAAAAGAAATTAAATGTCCTATCAAATTCAACAGCTTTTATTTCCAGCAAATGTCTTAATATGTATAAATGTAAACATAAAACGTCAAACAACTGAGACATAAGAAATGAGACAAAAACATTTGGTTACACTTGTTTCACACACTCTCAGAAAAAAAGGTACAAAAGCTGTCACTGGGGTGGTAACTTTTCAAAAGGTACAATTTTATACCTTTTAGGTACTAATATGTACACTTTAGGAACTAATTTGTACCATTAAGGTACCAATATGGACTCTTTAGGTACAAAGGTGTGCCTGTTACACCAGTCTGTCTGAAATCCTGTGCTGACCAGCTGGCCCCCATCTTCATACAGATCTTCAACAGATCACTGGAGCTGTGCGAAGTCCCTTCATGCTTCAAACGCTCCACCATCATCCCCGTCCCAAAGAAACCCAAAATTACGGGACTTAATGACTACAGACCTGTGGCTCTAACGTCTGTGGTCATGAAGTCTTTTGAAAGACTGGTGCTGGCCCACCTGAAGGACATCAGAACACTTAACAATAACTATGGAACACACACTATTTATTCACTCATACACTTATTTATCTAACACACATACTCAGTCTACACCTCAAATTTGCACATAATATTCAGTACCTGTACATACAAAAACTGTCTATTGTAACATACCTGCACATACAACTGTCAATTTATATAGTTTTATTCCTTATTTACTTGTTCTATTTTTTATTATCTGTGTTTTGTGTTCTGTCACTGTCATTCTGTTACACTGTGGAAGCTTCTGTCACGAAAACAAATTCCTCGTATGTGTAAACATACCTGGCAATAAAGCTCATTCTGATTCTGCCCCAGTGACAGCTTTTGTACCTTTTTTTTGAGAGTGCAGGTGCATATGCAATAATGGTTCATTGAACAAGCACGGAGAACATTATTTAAACCCTTGCTAATAAAGATCTGTAAAGCTTATCTGGATTTTACAAGATTACTTTAAAGTATGTATCTACAGCCTTGAAACATCAGATAATCGATCAATTAAGCCAGTTATGTGGTTTGACATTAACAAAAGATAAGGCTGACAGAATGTTCTTTCTCAATATAAAATGTTAAAAAACAAACTTTGTTGAAAGAACTCTTAAGTAAACAAATATGCACACACTTCAGACCAAAATCAGACGTTTTCCCATGAATATCGTCCAACATTGTGACTCTTGGAATTGATTGATTTATTATGTGGTGACTTATTTTCTCTCTTTATACTACAAAACATTGATAAAGTCGAATCAATCGTCTCTGTCTGTCTTTTAAATGTTTGCCCTGTCTTATTCAAGGACGAAATCAACTCCTACCTGTGGGAATCACACACATATACAGATGCCAAACATATTTAAAGAGCTTCCTCTGAGAAGAAATATATAGTTAAATCAGCTGTGATCTGCTTCATTCACATTCACTCTGTTCAGTAAGTCAGTGCTGGTGATGAACAGCATGTTTCTTGTCTGGACTCTCAGCTCTCTCATCCTCAGCTACACTCTTGGGTTTTCCACCCTTAATAGCACAAGGTAAGATATTTTCAAGCATATTTGAAATGTTGTCCACAAAAAAGAAATTCTACTTCATACTTGTGATGCATTCATTTTCAGCAGTGGATCTCAAATGAAGACTTTTCTCAATGTCACAGAGGGAAACTTCACAGACTATAGCAAGACCAATCAGACCAGGTATAAATACACACAAACATGCGTAATGATGACTAAATAAAACAGTGTGAGTGATGTTAACAGACTGGGGTGGGGAAGCAGTGGTCACGTACTCTGACTTTGGATGTGGATATGCAGAATTTTAACCATCTTACACATGTTGGCCTCTTTTTTTTTTTTTTTACTTAAATCAGGTAAGAAAAATGTCTTAGTTTATTCATAAAACATGATGAAATCTACTCTTTTCATAAATAGTGTTTCCTCTGTCACTGTTACAATTAGGCTGATATTTGTAGTAATTTACTGCTGTTCATAAGTAAAAATGTCAATCATGACAACTCTCTGAATAGTTTTAGCATATTAATGGGCATGACAATGTTAATGTTAATGTATTTGGTCTTGTGGACTCGATCTGATATGCACGCTGCAGCAGAGCATGTATGAACCTGCTACTGCTAATAGATACACAGACACACTGCTGTCCGCACATAAGATATGCTGCTGCATGAATAGGCATATATAAATCCCATAGCACATCTAGACATGTGGAGCTGGGGAAGGTGGAGGGTTTAAGATGACGTCTCATAGAACGAAGCAGAACCAGCTTCCAGCGAACACTGAACCAAACGATTTGAATGTTGAGCAAGTAATATAATAGACTGTGGAATCAGCAGAGGCCAAACAGCTTATGCCATGTAGGAAATTATTTCTAGCAGATCGCATATAAAGGATCTATCAGCCTTTTAATGCAGAATAAAGTATGTATTTTACATATTGATAATTGCTCTTTTTTCATACTTTCTAAGATAAATGCTCCTTCTTATCACTAATAATTTATCTTTTCTGACAGACATGAACAACTCGAAAAGAATCCTATACATGGCATGTAAGTAATTTTCTTTTCAAATTCTCTCTCTATTGGAATTAATTAATCTGATTAGTTCTGATTAGGTAATGCATGTGCTGCTGCTTATGACAAACCTCTATGGATCCTAAGAGAGGAATAATAGGGGAAAGAGAGTTACTTATTTGATTATTTTTAGACACATTTATTTGCAAAATGTCTTTCCTTTGAGCCTAGCTTTTTTAGATTCACAGGTGGTAACTTTTATTTGACATTTTATTATTAATGCAAATAGAGCAAAATTTCAACACATCGTTAATGTCATCTCTCCACACTAATGAAGAATAAAATCATTCTTATTTCCATCTATTAACTCCTTTTCTTTAAAGGAGTTAATGAGAGGCAGACACTGCTGACAAAGCATACATCACTGATGTAATTTTCTTTTCAAATTCTCTCCATTGGAATTAATGCATGTGCTGCTGCTTATGACATGCAAAAAAACCTCTACGCATACCGTGTCATTCTCTGTCTCGTTCTCTCTCTCTCTTTGACACACACACAACAGCTTGTTTAGTCACAATTCAGACTCTAGCACTCTGATTAAGACTCTAATTAAGAACTGAAAGTCAGAAAATCATTTGTCTATATATTTATCTATGTGGATAGGTTGTTTAAAAGGAAATGGTAGTTATATTGACTTTTTTTAGTTTGCTCTTTTAGGCCAAGCAATGAAATTTCTAGAGTGTGAGAAATCGTTATCATTATAAGATTGAAATATGAATTTGCCTATTCAGAAGTTTTATGAAATTCACACGAGTACAATAAGTTTATAAAAAAATAAGATTCCTTGTAACCCAATTTCTTGGCATCCAAATATAAGCTAATGTTTATCTGTACTTCACAGGTCCAGAGGGACAGGATGCTTTCTCGGTAC